ACCGGTCTCGGTCAGCCGGTCCGTTTCTTGGCACCGGCCCCCGACCGGTTTCAAACTCTTCTGACCCGGCTGACTGCTGACTGGACGGTTTTCGCCAACGGATAAAAAAGGAGGGTCGACCGTGCGCGCTTGTGTGTACCCTAAATCCCGTCCCCTCCGTCTTAACCCGGTNNGGAAACGGAAGCCGTAACCGAACATGTAGTCATCGATGATGCCACCAAACTCCTCGCGAAGTCCTTGGTGGCTGAGCTCCACCGTGGGGTCGAGTTTCTGATGATTGCCCCAATGCAAGGGCTACCCGCCGCTCATACTTCGGCCCCGGAATCTTAAAGGTTTTTGCCGCTTCAACCAGTTTTGTATTTTTTTTTCACACGCCTTTTTGCGCCTCCTGTGAAGAGTCTGTCGTCAGCCTACTAGCGGCAGGCAGCCTACCACAAGGAGGGTGGGTGGGCGCGGTCCAGGCAGGACCAGCGGCCGCGGGAACACAGCTTGCATCGCGCGATGGCGGGCGAGGAGGCGCAAGAGCTGCACTGCTTCGGTGCCTGCCGCCGGTCTCGATGCCGACAACGACTAACCGACAGCGAGCGCGGCCAAGTTCAGGGTACGTCTGGCACCGCTTGCGCCGCGCTGCGGCAGCCCGGCTGGACGTCGGCGCGCGGGCGGGCTTCGCCGCGTCTCGTCAGCGGGGAGATGATGGTGGCATCAAGCACAAGCTGGGAGCCATGCCAGAGGGGCAGACCGTTTGCGACGACCTCGATGCGTCGCTCGTCAGCGACAGGAACGTCGAGGTTCATGTCGGCGAGCTTGTGACGTGTCGTGCGACCCTGGCGCCAGCTTCGTGGCAGACCCGCGCAACGGCGTGCTCAAGGGGCAGCGCGCGTGTGGCGAGGACGCCGGAAGTGGCACAGGCCGTGCGGTGGTCGCCGAGGGGGTCCAGTGCTCCGTGGCAGCTGCACCTGCGCGGTGCGAGTGGGAGGGGCAGGCGCAGGCGCCGTAGCAGGAAGACGCGGAACTGTGCACTGGGGATGGCGATGTCATCGCGCGTGGGCATGAGGTTCAGTGCGCGGGAAGCGAAGGGCCCTGCCTGCGACAGCAGCAGCGCTCGGGACGCGGGGGTGAGGTTTTGTATAGCCACAACATTCGCGCCATAACACTGATCTCCTTCACGTCGTTTTCCTTTCTCACTTCTCTAGCTTGCCCATCATCGCTCTCCATTTCGCCACGTAGAGCTTTTCAAAACATCTTGGCCCCTACATCCATCCACATCTATGTCGACCATGACCGTGTCCCTCATCCAGCTGGAACATCGTCGCACATGGTGCCACACAGCTCGGCGAAGCGCTGTGCTGCGAGGTGACCCTGGTCTCGCCGCTGGCCCGTGATGCCCCGGATTCTATTGATCTACTTTTGGGAGGTTTTTGGGGTGTTAGCGGACTTCTCCTAAATAACTAAGCTCCTTAAATGCAACCCAGTGGCCGACCAGCGGCATCGTCAGATGATGTCCAGTTCCGAAGATACCGGCCCCTATAGCCATCAAACAACATCGACACGGAGAGGAAGCGCCCTTGGTACCAGTCTCGAACCTATACTCGTATAAGCTGTCACAATGAGATGCTGCTAGATGGCAAAATGCCGTAATATTGATCTGTACAGGACGTGTACGTGTTGCGTTACACCTATATCGTATCTGTAATAACGTGTGTAGATATGTGAATACCGACACTTTTGAGTTTTGGTTACATACATATAAGAAAGTATGTCAGGCAATTTGTTATTCTCCTTGCAACCTTCGTTGAGAGTCTTTGCAGGAGTCAGATAAGTGTTTGGAGCACCAACCAATGTCTGTGGAGCGATAGGGCTCAAGAACAAAGCGCGCTGCCTACCCCGAGCTCCTTCGGCGAGGACCGCAATGGCTGTGCGTGCTCGCGTGCGAGACCGGCGGACGCTGGAACGACGAGTCGTGCCGCCTCGTTGCACAGCTCGTCCGTTCGCGTGTTTTGCGCGCTCTTGCTCCGCTCCGAGGAGCTGCCACCAAGGGCTGGCACAGGCGCTGCCCTACTCACAGTGTGGCTGTGCAAAACACGCTTGCTGCCAGTTTGCTCGGGACGCCTCCAGCCCGATGCCTGGCGCACAGGCACCGCACCTGCAGGACGTCCTGCACGACGCGTGCCCGCTTGTGCCCAATTGCCTGCCGGCCCGCTGAGCCGCTGCAGCCCCTTTGATGCCGTAGCTCGAACGTGCACTCGGACTGCTCCGTGGGCAGAAACAAAGAACATCTGATAATGACCAGGATTTCCTGCGAACGCGCCTCCTCTGTGGACGTGACAAGGAACCCAGTATCCACAAACTCCCGCACATGGTCCTTCCATGCGCAATGCAGCTAGAATAAGCGAGTCCTCGGTGTCCTGCGTCATGTTCCCGAGGTTCTCCCGGCGTCGAATTTCTATCCTGGATACCATGGAAAGGGAAACCAACTCGCAAAGTTGTCGGCAACCTCCTTGTTCTTTTTGCTGGGTAGTTGAGCTGGCGTATGCTGGCGTCCTTCAAGATGCAGTGGGTAGGAGTATCCCAGGGCACCAACTCCCCCAGCGGCACTATTCTTTGACCTCTTTTTGGGGCAGCTTGAATTGCCGTTGCGGGTGGCAGGAAAAGCGAGCCAGCATCATCAATCCTCATCATCAATTTGCTGGCTCCGGCCAACTGAACCATCACTTCCGTGGGTGCGCTCCATTCAGCATCGTCCTAGGCGCTTCTGACGCAGTGCGTCGCTTCTGAGTCCGGTACGGCTGGCGGCCGTAATGAACATTTTCGAAAAAGCAAGCAGCCGGGTGACGGGCCAGAAAAGCGCGCCCTAGAAACTCAGCGGCCGTGTTTGCCGCTCCCACGCGCATGTCCGATGATCATCATCCGCAGCTCGGGTTTGGTTTTCTCAGGAGAATAATCGCCTTCGCTGCCTCCAGGGTTCTGGCTCTGAACCACGTGGTGTGCTGCTTGGACCAAAGCCTCCAATGTCCAAGGCACCCCTTGAACCGTCGGTCCCGAAGATGTAGGGTAGATCCCGCCGTCGCCGTCGTGCTCCTCCGGGTCAAGTCTTTGGCCTTTTAGTCCACGCTGCTTCTTCTGTCCTGCTGCGGTAGGGGGAGTGCTTGCGTATGCGGGCCTTGTTTAGCAACGGGAAACTCACGCTGACGGTACGGCCAGTTCCTGGCGCCCTGCAGAGCCCCCAGATTGAAATGATGTGTACAAGCGCAAGACAATCTTCCTGGTATCCTGCGAAGCTCGTCTGAGCATGTCAGCATCTCCGAAAACACAGCACGCCACACGAGGGACCCCAGGACAGAACGTGAAGTATTTCTGGAGGTCGAGCGCATTGGAGAGGCTCTTCACGAACACGCACGACAAAATCACGACAAGTCTCGCCAGCCGATAAGCAAGAATTTTTTTTGTCCATGCAGCCGCTTTGAAGAAATGCCTTGCCGTTTCAAGGTTGGCAGAACAGCGTAGGAAACAGCAGCGCCACATGCTTCAGCGGTAAGACTTCTGTGAGCAAAGAAACATCAGAAAGATGCCGCGCGCCATGGCGAAGAAAGGCAACAAGTCCGCTCCAAGAGGCCTTCGACAAGCTTGGTTTATACTTTGATATATGGCAGAGGGTTGAGGGCTTTTGGAGTGGGAGGCAGAGCCTTCCGGAAAGAGCGTTCTGCTTTTTTTCGTTCTGAGCCGAGGCCGGCTTTCGGTGAATGGCCAGCATTTGCCTACGAGCGATGGGTGCATAGCAACGTATCGGACGGGCAAACCCTGTTCGATTCCGCGGGTTTCAAAGCTCATGCCCTACTGCGGAAAATGTTGCCTGAACGCAATCAGCAGGCAACAGCGCCTGGCATGTGCGACATGGGACAAGTGTGGAGGAGTTGTTGCCGTCACCTGAGGCATGAGAACAGGCGACCCTTCTTTGAAGGCAGTGAAGCATCCACGATTTGGCAAAATCCTGATTGCCAAGCGAAACCTACCCAAAGGGTATTACGTAGCATGGTGGGGTCTTGGCCTGAGACCAGCAACAGACGGATTTGTGGGCATTCTTCACGTTCCTAATGTAGTGTCTTGCCTGTGCTTGTTCAGGAAACCTGTTGCCGAAGAAGAAAATAGCCCGAAAGCGCATGGAGTGGGCGTTGGAGACCACGAAGGGCATGGTGGACGCAGTCCCATATGATGGATCGCAGCTGAAATACTGCGCGTGTGTAGGCTGGGTTCCAGCATTTAAATTCATCGAGCTTTGTGTGCCATGGCTCTCGCGATGAACAGGTCCCAACGAGCTACCAACCATTGACTTTGCACCGAACAGTGCCTGGATCCCAGCGGCAAGTTTCAGCAGGGTTGTTTGCAGCACAAGATACTCCCGAGACGATTGCCTCGTGGTAGATCGCGTCGCCGTGACCGAGGATGTCTTGCTCAAGCGCGGCGAGGACAAAGCAGCGGTGATGTTCCGGACTTTGCGGCCCATCCCGCGAAACTGGCAGGCGCCCCGCATAGATGTTGCCATCCCCGTAGTCTCTTGAAACAGTATAATACAGGTGGACATGATGTATAACAAAGATGAGAAGAGCACCGACGAGTTCTTCCAGGAGCAAGGCATCTGCCGAGGTGATGTTGGCACAAAGAGATACCCCGCACTTGGTCCTGCATTGGTATCCCTGACTCCGTAGACTCGATGCACAGACCTGCGCTGGGCATCAGATCAAACCCTAGACTTTTCCCTGCCCTATAAAATTCAAGCTAAAATCGTCACTGGAAAATCCTCCAACCGTTCTTGGAACTCAGGCACTGAGAAAGAAAAATGCTGACCCGCCCACGTGGCTGAAAGCCACGGGCATGAAGAAGAAAGCCGCGAAGACGAAGGTCATGAACATGAAATTGAAGACTTCGAAGTCACGATCCAAGAAGTCTGGATGAGCCCTGACATTGGTGGCAAGGCGTTTGACGGGATTGCCCCTCCTTTAACAAATGGGCCTTGTGAGTTGTTCGTGCTGCAGGTCTCATCTCTTGTTCTGTAACCTGTCGGTTTTGATCTGCTGGATTCTTGGTGCTGTCTGTTCCGGCTCTTGATTCCGAGCCACTTTTTTGCAACAGGGGCTTGCCGCTTAAATCTGTTTCTACGGGTTTCCACGGATTTCCGAGCGCCTTTGCTTTCAGCCCGACTTCGATTTGTTCCTCTTCTAGAGTTCAAGGTGAGACGAGCTCTCGGTGGACAGGATCCGGCCGGCTAGTAGAGTATGAGTAGATTGCCATCGTCTAACACGCACGCCCCAGTGACAGGACGCTCCACTCCAGCAATCTCATCTCAATCTTAAGTCACTTGAGGATGATGCGGCTCAGCGGCGACCGCAGCTCATTGCACTCGTGGTTAGGGAAAGCCAGGAGTGTCGCTTGCGGTGGAAAAGTGCTGAAGCGTGGCCTGTGTGGAATCTGGACTGTGCGTTAAATTCTGCTTTGCAAGCGACTGCTTGAATTTATCCTCGCTGCCCTTCCTTGGGCTCGGGGGGAGTTGGCCACGAGTGGCCACTGGGCCAACGACGGCCACCCTTGGCCGCGGAGATCCGGGCGGCTGGGAGCATGTTGCCACAGACGCAGCCGGCGACTCAATGGGCCGTGCGGGCTCGTGCGGTGCCGCTCAGACGAGTTCCTGGTCGCTACGCAGTGCGCCACGCAGTGCGCCACGTAGTGCGGCAGCGAGCGCAGTTCGCTGCAGAAGCTGGACTGCTGGGCTTGAGCCTCCTGTGGTTGAAGGGCCGATCTGGTGCAAGCAAACAGGCCTGTACCGTCGAAACGTGTGTGTGGTGCTCACTCCAGCACGTCGTGCGTGGAACCCCATGAGTGCCAAAAGGCTTGCAGACCGCCGAGAGTACTCGCATATGCTGCAGCCGCCTCCCTCGCCACAGACGCTGTCGTAGATGAAGCCTTGGAGGCGAGGCGTGTTTATGTGTCTTTTCTTTGAGCAGAAACATCTTGTGGGTTGTGCGGGTGATGTGTCGAGCATGCCAGGGTCGAGGCCGTGGGGCAGAAAAACATCCACAGCTGCAGTTCAAACGTGATGGAGCAGGCGGGCCAAGCCAGTTCGTGCCGGTGCAAGGAGAGACTTCCTGATGCCTCCAGGAAATCCAGAAAAGCTGATGATCACTACGCCATTGTTTTATGCCAACGGCTCCCCCCACATCGGTCCCTTGGCCTAGGCTTACGGGTTGCAGGTCAGGCCGGTAAACTGCCACTGCCAGACAGGTAGCGCGTATCCGGCAATCGCATCGGACGTTCTGGCGCGCTATGCGAAACTGCATGGGGCTGATGTCCACTATGTGACCGGCATGGATGAGCATGGCGAGAAAATAGCACAAACTGCTGTGGCTCGGCTTGTTGAGGAATGCATGGCTTTTTCCTCTGCTTGCCTTCCAAACTTCCCAGTTTGCGCAAGGCCAGCAAGGAGAAGACCCCACAAGAACTGGTGGACGGTTTTGCTGAGGAGTTCCAGGTCGGGGGCTGCTGAGGTGGGAACTGGGGACTACTGAGTCTGTCTGGACTGAGGAGCTCTGGAGCCTACTTGACGTCGAGGCCAACCACTTTGCACGGACCACCCCCGACAAGCACAAGGCCCGTGGCAAGTTGGAGGGATCACAGATATGTATGCGTGCCTTTCATAGCGACATAGCGCAGTCAGACGTCCAGTGTCCCTTCGTTCTTGGAGACATAGTGATGGGGTGGTAGCCGGCCTGGGCCGCCCGGGAGGCAATCGTCCGTGAGATGTGGCAGCGGTGCTTGGAGAATGGTGATATCTACAAGCGCCTTGGCAGCCTCGGGTCCTGGAGTCCGGGCTTTCCGATGTGAGGCTCCCCGTCAGAGTCAGAGTGCATTTTTGACCCAGGAAGGATTACACTGGCTGGTATTGTGTGGGATGTGAGGCGTATTTGGACGACGATGAGATGTCGGAGGGGCATGTCTGCAAAATCCACCAGAAGGAATGCATCCAGCGAAGTGAAGAGAACTACTTCTTCCGATTGTCCAAGTATTGGGACGACATCCGACAACACATCGAGAAGAATCCCGACTTCATTTTGCCCACCAGCCGCCGCAGTCAAGTCTTAGTCTGGTTGGAAGAGGACAACAAGCGAGACTTCTCCATTTCACGTGCAAGCACTTCTTGGGGAATCCCTGTGCCTGGCGATGATTCACAGGCTGCGGGGAAACAGATCGGTTTGTGTGTGCCTCGAAGGACAGAAGTGTCGCAGTCCGTGGCCGCGCTTCAATTCGATTCTTTGAGGTGAGGTCTTGAGGACAGTTTCGGAGACACCGGGCCAGGATGGTTCTCAGACCTGACGACAACCACGAACGATGTCCAACTTGTTTCAGAAGGAACGCTCTGCCATGTCCTTGATTGAACATGTCTGTTTGCATAGCCCTTACGAGCTAGCGGCACAGCATCACCCGACCAGGAACTGCATATGTATATATATATATATATATGTCTCTCTCTCTCTCTCTCTCTCGTGTCTTCAGTCTGCTCATTTGTTGGCCCTGCCTTGTTCATTTGGCGCTTGTTGCTGCGGCCCAGCATTTCTGCTTCAGGGTCAGGCTTTAAGATGTCCTCACCTTAACAGGAATCTCGACCCCCGTGGACTTTCGCAGGTGATCTACGTCTGGTTCGACGCGCTGCTGGGGTATTTGTCCTCTTTGCTGCAGCCCGATGACCCGGCCACCTTGGAGACGGTGCTTTCGCGGGGATGGCCTGCGGAGGTTCATGTGATCGGAAAGGACATCATGCGATTTCACGCGATTTACTGGCCGGCCATGCTGATGTCCGCCGGCTTACCTCTGCCAAAGCACATCTGCACTCACGGCTTCCTGACCAAGGATGGCCTGAAAATGGGAAAATCCCTGGGCAACGTTGTGGAGCCAGTTCCACTAGTGGAGTCCTTCGGTCCCGATGCAGTTCGGTTCTTCTTCGCCGCGTGCCTCGCATTCGGCGAGGATGGGGATTTCAGTTATGAGACCTTCATAAAGAGGGTGAACAGTGCCCCGATCCGCAGTATGACTTCCACGGATTTCGCATGGCTGTAAATGCAAAGCCTGGCGCCAATTCCTAAGGCACCTTGGCCAACGAGCTTGGGAACTTGGTCCATCGGATCCTCACCTTGTCCCGGAAGAACCTCGAGGAGGCTCGCTCCCCACCAGAGTTGGCGAGCTCGGACGCGGACCTCGACGACCATCCCGCCAGCATCTCAGACTGTCACTGTAGTAGTGGCAAGTCTAGGTCTAGGTTTCTGGGCCAGGTGCGTGTCGCGGCCATGCGGGCTCCAGCAGCCGTCGCTCGCCACTACGAGCAGCTGGACATTCCTAAGGATGGGATGCACAAAGCTGGGTTGTCTTCCTACGGGCAGTTTCGCAGGCCGTCCTGGCGGCTTTCGAGATCGTACAGGCAGGCAACCTGAGGATGACCCAGGCATCAAAGGGCGAAAGCTGCTTTCAGAGTCCTTCTGTCTTTTTGCCAGTGCCATGGCTGCCACGCCATGGCTGCCGTGGTCAGGTTGAGCCGTGGGCGAAGTTGAAGAAGACCAGCAGTGAGGAGGACAAGAAGACGGCACTCTGTGAACTGCTGGTGATGGCCGAAGGCGTGCTTGGATGTTGTTTTCGTTTTGCGGCTCCCTGCTCCGGCGAGGCGCACGGATCTGTGCGACGCTGCTGTCGCCCGTGACGCCTCGGTTAAGTCAGAAGATCTTGGAGGAGTTCGGCCTCTCGGAAGGCCCCGGCCTCGGGCTGTAGCTCAGCTCCGCAGCACAGCTGGCACAAGGACAGCTCGCTTGGAGTCAGACTGCGTGGTCCTGGGATGCGCCCCTCGGCGGCGCAAGCATGCACACGGAGGCTCCTCCTGATGCCATCCCCCAACCTTTCCGCTGGACTCCGCTCCACTCTTCCCTCCTCTCGCAGAACTGCAGTTCTCCTTCAGCGTTCTCTGAGGATCCCCGGCTTGGCCGCTGGGGCCTTGGCCGGCCGTGGGCACATGTGGGCACGTGCTTGCTCTTTCATCTTTCATCTTTTGCTGGCAAGGCCGGGGCGAAGCCGAAGCCGGTCTTTCAGAGGATCGACCTGGAGCCTTGGAAAGGGAAGTGAGAGGCAGAGCATGGAGGCGGAGTTCGCTTAGTCAGGTTCCCCGTTTTCCGCACGCCCAAAAGGGCTGTTGCGCGCTTGACCTTTTTCGCAGCAAAACGGTGGTGCTGTAGACTTACTAGACCAGGGCGCTCGGGACCGGCGATGTGGAAGTGCTGCTGGCCGGATGCCGTCTGCACCTCCCCGCTAGCATGAGGCTTCTAAACGAGGGTTGGTGGCTTTTTGTGTCCTCTTGGCATGGCGGCTGGTGGTGCCGTTGCCACGCCACGGCGATTTGCGCTGTCAACGCTCTTGAGGGGGTTGCACGGCAGCAGCATGCGACCGCAGATGCAGTCACTTTTGTTGCTACTCATGACTGTAGCGGCACCAGCAAGGTTGAGAGGTAGCTCTTCGCGGACAGTATGGGCCATGATCGCGGGGGCCCTCATTGCCATGATCCTCAGGTACCTGCAGGACAGGACAGTCCGTCCTTCACGGCCTCGCTTCCTCCTTGGGCCCTCGCCCTCGCCGCCCTCGCCCTGTCAGGACCTTTACCGAAAGTTCCGGCGACAGGAAGCTGAGTCGCTTTGGCGTCGACACGTGGACCTCAGCGTGGTTCAGGCCCCTGCTGGCTTCAAAAGTGTCCGACGTATGTACTTCATTGATTCGCCACTCGCAGTGCCCTGTCCGTGGTCCCGTCCATCTCTTGCGTCATCCTGCCTTGGGCAGATTTTGGTCAGCTTGTCTTTGCTGAGCCCTCGAAGGCAATCTTGCTCACGACGGAGCACTTGAAATCCCTGGGCCGCGTGGAGAAGCGCACACTCTTCGTGAAGCCCATTACGGAAGTCTTTAAGAACGAGTTTGTCTTGGCTAATGTTCTCAGCACAGCCGAAAAGGCTGTGGAAAAAAACGAGCCATTCCTGGTGACGCAGATGTCTCAGGAAGACAAGTGGCATGTGCTGACCACTTGCACGAATCACCTGAGCTCTTGCTTCGCTCCGTATCATGTCTTCTTCAATGAGGCCCGTCGTGTGGAGTCCTACTATCAGTCGGCATGGTATGTTTTCACTCTCACTTGCGCTCAAACCGAAGCTTCTGGAAGATGGTTTATCACGCCTCTCAAGCCTGTGGGGAAAGATGATGTCGGAATGCTTCGCATCCGAATCGTCATGATGAACGAGCAGGAACTGAGAGAGATCGCCTCTGGCGCTATCGAGCCTCCAAGCTTTGGCTTCTTCAATGGGCGCGCGCCTCAAGGGTTTGCGTTTGCGAACCGGGTGCTGCTCCGAGTTGTCTTGCAAGGGCACCGTTGCACCTGTTGTATCATGTTGTATCTGTGGCCGTGCAGGCGCCACGAAAGCCGATGGAAGACCTGCCAGCGTTTTGCGGAGCTCTTTGAGCGACAGTTGACCAAAGTTAGCGGCCAAAGCGACGTGGGGGATGCTGAGTGGGGTCCTAACCTTTGTGGAAGACTCTCGCAGTCTCACAAGAAGAAGGCAGGCAGCAATCCCTTGCTAATGGCCATGGGTGACACGGCCGCACAGCAGAGCCCTGCTGAAGAGAATTGCATCTTGCGAATTCATGTGCCGTTCCCGGCCGGGCGTTCCGCGATGGAGAAGACGGACTCGCAGAGACGTCTAGAAGAGTGCGTCTCCAAGGATGTAGTACTTTTCGAGTAGGTCTGAGTGTCCCCGGCTTTAGGGCCTTTAGGGTTTAGGGACTCCCCCCTTGCGAGCCTGTCAGCCAGCATGGGGAAGCCGTCGCCCCCGGGCATCTTTTGCCACTGTCTCACGAGGCGCTCCCGCCGAGCCTGCGCTCTTGGTTTCCACCGTTACATCCTGCGTCGAGCCCCGTTTCTAGCACTCAGCTTCGGCAACGGCGAGGCGCAAAAGATGCATTGCGAACACAGAATCATGTGTCTTTAACTCAGATCTCCGGATCATCCACAGGCATGAAGGCATGACTCGCAAGACGATGCCCCGTGCCAGCTGCGTGGCTCACTCCGGGCGGTGGCAGACATGCTTGCCTATCCCTTGCCAGAGGGCCCGGCTGAAGTGAGGCCGAAAACCCTCTTGGGAGGCTCCGCGCCCAGTCGACCTGGGCGAGCGAAGCCGCAAAGCGCGCCGGCGAAGCCTCGCTTTTTGGGGGCCTCCGCCTTTGGGGCCTTTCTGCCTGCTGCACTTCTGGCAAGGCCAGACCTGGGATTAAGGCCTGAGCTGAGAGAGTCTCTTGTTCTGTCCAGATCCTGCCGCCGATTGGCCGGAGGAGAGATCAGTTCTTTGCTCCTTCCATAGCACGCACAGCTTTGCTGGGAGGAGTGCTGCGATGCCCGCATTGGCTGAAGCAGGCACGGGGATTTGCTCCTGTGAATTGCGACAGGTGCAGCCGAGTGCAGCAGTTCAGATTTCTGTCGATCAGGCCAGAAGAGTCGCCCGCAGGGCGGAGGAAGATCAGGCGCGAATCGGGTTTCGCGAGTCAAACTCGACACGAAGCTGTTGTGTCCTCGTGGCCAGTTCGTGCAGAACATCAAGGCGCTGATGCCCAACAAGGAGGTGGTCTTGGAGGGAGACAGATCACCCGAGCAAGAGGAGCAGATTGGATTGCAGAGCAGACAGTCATCCCATGTTTCTTGAGGCCTTACCATCCCAGCCGCAAAGCCGCAAAGTTCTTGAAACTGAGGGAGATGCAGCAGCTGGCCAGGGAGTACTTGGAGGAGCAAGGGATAGACTTGGATGAGATGCCAGGCCCCAAGCTTTGTCCGCACTTAGAGACTTAGACGGATTTCCAATGTCCAAGGAATGTGAAGGTTATCGGATTGCAAGACCGGACTATGGCAGAGGATCCGGAGAAGAAGTACCGAACAGACAAGACCTTGATGATGGAAGCCTACGACCGTGGCGAGATACAGCTCATGGAGATGACCTGCCCCTCGACGCCATTGGTCGAATTCCAAGTTTGTCAGGGCGACCCGACCACTTTTCTCACTCTGCTGCATTTCCCAGGCAAGGACTTGTTGGCCGTCAAGCCCCACGACGCGGAGGTCTGGCGGATGCTCACCTTGGGCCGACTCCGCCTGAAGCGCTCCGCTCAACACCTTGGCGCAGTTTCTTTTCCCGGGTTTTGTCCCCTTTGTCGTGTGAGGCTCTGGGACGTGGCCCTGGAAGCGGCTCGGCGGTGGATTGCCTTCGAGCCGCAGTCGCTGAACCCTCGCTGCGCGGAAGCTTTCGCACAAGCCGGGAGCCAGGACGCGACACAACCAGAAAGCGCTTCTGCCGGGCTTGCTTTGCCCCTTGCGTCAATGCGTTGGGGAGAGGAGCTGGACGGCGTGAAGGAAGCACGCGTCCGGTTCGCGCAACTGTACAAAGAAGTGACCAGCATGGACTCCAAGGGCGAAGCTCTCAGCTCTGCCTCAGCCTTCGGCCTCTGCCTGTCTGCTTCAGAGGCGAAGGCGTCCGTGATGTTGCGGTCGAGCTGCAAGAGTGCGTCTGGCGATGCGATGAGCTGCTGGAGCACCGCAAAGCAGAGGAGCAGAAGGAGCAGAAGGAGCAGAAGGAGGCCCAGGCCGGCCACGTCTCCGGGCAGAGGTGCAAAGGGTCCTCAGAGTTAGCCGAGGAGCCCCAGCCCTGCAACCTGAGCGCTCGCCCGGCCACGGTCCTCACCGGAGCGAGGCCCCGGCTGAAGGACGTAGAGCGCCCATGCAACACTCAGATTCACTTCTATGCCTTATGCCTTTATGTAGCTATTGACACAGCTGTGGCATGAGGGGGTGTCTCGAATAGTTCGGTTTGGGGTTTAAGGTTTGCGGATTATTTCGGGTTCAGGGCTTCTGGGTTCAGGATTTCCATGCTAGGGTTTCTGCGCTTGGGCTTTCTGCCTTGGGGTTTATGGCTTCAGGGTCTCTGGGTTCAGGGCTTCAGGCCCAAAGCTCTGAAGCCCAAAGCCTGAACCCCAAATGCCTCAAACCGATGCCCGCACCACAGCAAACTCCGCGACTCTCGACCCAAACACCACAATCAAAGCAGATGTCGCGACGCCCCTCCATGGAGAAGTGTAAAAGGTTTTTCCTCACCCTCGGCGTGGGGTTGTTAGATGTTAGAGTCAGCTATTACTCCCGCCCGCTCCTCGTCCGCTCCTCGCCAGCTGAGACTACCTCCAGAGACTCCCTGGAGTGCCCAACCCAGAGACAACCGTGAGACTTCCTGGAGTGCCAAACCGCAGAGACTACCGAGACTCCCTGGAGTGCCCAAGTGCCCAACCCCAGAGACTACCTTGAGACTGCATGGAGTATCTAACCCCAAAGACTACTGTGAGACTCGTGGTCAACCCGGGGACCCCAGGACCTTAACGCCAGTCAGTGGTGTGCCCCCATGGGTCGTCGACTGACCTGAGTCGAACATGTGTTTTGGTTCGTGTACGGGGGCCCCGCGTTCGTAACGCATTTTTCCGGGCCCTCATTGGACAAGGTTACGGTCCTCTACAGGTCCGGACCCAGGTTGTGGACCCGGGTTGCCGCAAATAATCCCGAATGTCCCCCACCTCCCGGAATAATAACGTCCCGCCTTACTCAATTATTATTCCAACCCCCGCACGACCCCCCCCCGCCAAGACACCCCCCATACTGTGGTTATGCATGTGGCTGCTTCATTGTGGATGAATCTATGATTGTATATGTGTGTTGGAGGCCGCCCCATTATTTTCTGCCGAACTTTGCCAACTCCATCGGGCCCATCAAGGTCGTCCAAGCAGACGACGAGGAGTTGGGAGGTGGAGCGGTCCACCCCCGCAAGATCGTTGTCACCAAGGACGTGGAGGCAGACCGCCTTTTTGCTGCTTCTCTTGCATCCTTCTGGTGTGCGTGAGCCAGGCGGGTGAGCCCTTGTTTGTGCAGAATTCCTTGGCCTTCTCTGCCGTGGATCAGGCACCACCAGAAACTGGACAATTACCAGTACAGCTGCTTTTCCATCTCGTGATCTGTTCCAGGCTGGGGACACGGTGCGGCTGAAGACAGCACTGGTCACTGCCGCGACGTTGTCAGAACCTTGGCGGTGGGTTTGGCCCTTGAGCTCTGCAGAGTGGGTGCGAGGTCCCCAAGACAAGCAAAGCTTCTCGACATCCTCTTGGACCGCAGCGACTGGGAGGACTCCGACAGCGATGCCGTCATGGCGGCCCTCGACGACCCGAAGGCAGAAAGAGACAGAGACAGAGACAGAGGGAGAGAGCCCTGCAAGAGGGAGAGAGAGGCAGATTTAGCGAGGGGCTCAGGGAGGGAGCGAGCATGCTGCTGAAGCTGCGCAAGCTCTCTGCGCAACATGCGGCCGCTCTCTCTCGCAAGAAAGAGGTCGTTCGGGAGTTTGGCCCCTGGAGCTCCGACGCGGAGTCCATGATCGATCACTTGCAGGCAAGATCCGGTGGGAGTTTGGCCGGCCATCTGCAAAGCTTGACCTGGGACGAGAGGTCTGCGAGCAGCTGGTCCTGGAGTCACAAATCCTCACGGGGAAGAACTATGCCGGCATTTGGGTGCCAGGGGCCCAGCTTCGCCCTGGGTGCTCTTGGTCGGCTTGGTGGTGGTGCTGCTGCAACAAGGCTTCCGGCCATGGCGCGACACAGCTGTGCACCTTCAGGCCCAGCTGCCAAAGTTCTGTGCCGAGTGGTTTTTTCATGTTTAACCTTTCTCTTTCATGCGTTCTTTCCACGCCAGCTGTCTACACGATCTGGGGTGACGTGATGGTTGCGCGAGCTTCGCGGAATCTGAAAGCGGGAGATGAGGCCCCGCTTTGTCGCTTCGGTCCGCCCGCTTCTCGACCGCATCGCAAGCCGCAAGGTCACTTTCGGATTCATGGACCTTTGGCTTCGCTTGGACATGCGCCAAGAGAAGTTCACCAACGCCGCGGGTGGCGACGGCTTCTGGTGTAGGCAAGTGCAGTCACCAAAGATCGTGGCGGACCTTTGCACCGGGCAGGTGCCCGCGCTGCGAGGGGGAAGCCACGTGGCCCTCAAAGGTGGCCCGGAGCTCTGCCCAGCGCCAGCCCCCCAAAGCCCACCTCTGTGGCCAGCAAGGCCGTGGCGTCGGCAGACCTTGAGCTCAGGCACAGCTCCGTCGGTCATGGTGCCCGGTGCGCTCTCACTCTCCCCGTCCCCTGACAGGTTCGAGAAGCAAAGGAGCCGGGTTGAGGGAATCCTGCGTTCGCTGGACCTGAAGCTGGAAGAGAGGCGCCAGGCGACGGCTGTTTGTGTGACAAAAAAAGCTCAAACCTTTGCAAGCTTTGTCAGAACATGCAGAAGCAGTACGACGCCATCCGCGATGGGGTCTCAGAGTTGTTGAAGAGTACTAGTAACTGCTACTAGTACACTAGGTTGGAGGGACCGGCCAGCGCCATCGATTGTCGAGGACAGTGAGGATCAGCGGATCGAGTACGAAGCAGGCCGTGGCACCGTTACCGAGGACACCCGTCTCGGTGCCGTTGCTCAGGACTGCTGGGCTTGGCGGATCGCTTCGACAACCTGAAGGGCATGCCAAAGGACGAGGACATCGAGGAGCTCCGCAAGTACTTCCCGGAGAACAACGAGCCAGAGCCGCGAAAGCTGCAAAATTGGGCCGAGTCGCGTCGCCACTTCGCTCCTCTTCGCTCCTGCGCTCTGTCTCTTTGAGGTTGGTCGAAGTGCGGGCCGACTTGGCCGAGGACCTCCTGGATGCGATCATCACCTTCGAGAAGGAGGCTTGTTAGTGACTGTTGGTGGGCAGGCCATCGCGGGCCCACGGGTGCCAGGTGAATGAGAGCGACTTACCGGAGGAGCAGCGCCACTGGGTGCTCGCGAATCACTTCGCAGGGGAGCCCAGACACAAAATGCCCGAAAAGGATGGGGGGCCGGGCCGCAACTGCGGCGTCCCAGCCCAGGCGCAGTACAGCGAGCTCCTGGCCATCTTGCGCTTGCGCCGCGACGTGGAGGCCACGGGGCCTGACGGGGCCTGACGGGGCGTGACGGGGCCCACGGTTCCCTCAGTTCCCACTTTGGGGCTCCGAGGCCCAGCGCAGAGCGCTGGGAGGCATCCTGGACGCCGTCGGCACCTTCGTTGCTTCCTGGGCGCATGTCAGGTGTGCTGTGTGTGCCGTGACCGGCCTCGAGGTGGCAGCGACTCATCCGGGCAGCTTTGAGCACCTGCGGCTTTCTGTTCTGCTCTGGGAGGTGGGAGGCTTTGATCTTGAGATACCGCCTTGAAGTCCCCAGCGTATCCCGTCCTCCGCCAGGTCTCGGCTCAGTGCGAAGATCCGACCCTGATGCGTGAGGCGTGGCTAGAGAAGCCCGTGTGGCCTGCGAGATATGAGCTTGATCTTGCGGAGGACCTTGTTCGGGACCTAATCCCAAAGGAGCTGGACAGAGTTCGGGAAGCAATCAAAATCAGATATGGCCCAGACCTCACTCGGACACCTTGTTTGTTTCGACTTACAACAGCGTCGCGCGCCGAGGGCGCGATCTCGATGACACAGAGGTGGCTTGGACGATACAATGACGCAAGGGCAGGCGGTTGCAGGATCATCGGTGCTAGGTCCATGCTTCGAGACCGTTTCTTTCAAAACTTGTTTACACACTGACAGCTCAGTGCGGCTTGGTCATAGTATGTCAGAACGTCTCTACGCATCTTCGCGTGTTGACGACGTCCAGCCGGCGCTGTGCCTCTAAAGTGCTGGATGACAGGTGAGCGCCACAATGGCCAGGATCGCTTCGACAAGCATCATTGACGAGAACTGGATGTGGGACATCACGCACGGTGCTAAGCGAAGCGTGAAGCATCTTGCCCCACGGCCTGCTTGGGCTGGCTGATTCTTGTGGGCTCCGGTCACTCAAGGTGGTGTGCGGGGCGGAATTATGCTCCCGAGCCCGCGCGGGGTCCTTCCGGCAAGGCCAGCGGAAGCGGGGAGCAGGGGAAGGGTGAGAGAGAGAGAGAGAGAGAGACCATGGCTGCAGGTCTTACCGGTGCTCGGCTCTTCGATCCTGGTGTGATGTGGTATCGTAGACGTAGCTGACATGGAGGAAAAGATGTGTCCTACAAAACGCTTGCTCTGGCACCCTCAGTTTCTGTTGCACAGAGCATCACATGGCGTGACAGTCGAGTCTACCGCCATGTTGCCGCAGTTAAGCGGGCTCACGCATGTAGTCAAATGAGCTTAAACGTGGCAAGACACCTTTCGCCCTGGCCAGCCCGTGGCTGAGCAAGCCGCTTGAAGAACATGGTTCGGGAGCCTCTCCCATTTTGCTGTTGCACAAACGGTTTCTCCAACCCTACGCGAAACAGAGTACCGCTCTCGCTCTCCCCTTAAGGTGGGACTGGCAAGAGCAGAACGGGCGGGTGGAAGCGGCCAGGCCAGGGCCAGGCACATCCGCGCGAGAGCCGAAAGACTCCTCCCCTGCCGTAGGAGGCCTTGACTCGAGTGCAAAATGCCCTTGGCCTCAGAGAATCTCGGAGGCGTCTGCGCTTGGGCGTGGCGTGTGTCCGAGGTCCGGACCCATGGGTGGCTCTGCTGGCGCCACCAGAGTCATTGGTAAAGGCGAGATGCTACTCCAGGCAGCAAATAATTAAATAATTCGAGCCATACGAGCGAAGGCCAGCGGCGGCTTATGACCAAAGGCATCAAGATGGGTAGCTGGGTTGCTGTATCGTCAGTGCCCCAGATCTCACGTAAGCATCGCAGAAGCGGGCGTGAGACTGCTCCCCAGTCGAAGCCGAGACTGTGAGGTATCGTGTCCCCATCAAGCAAGAAATAGACGAGAATGACACTGGCCACTACGAAGGGAGGATAATTGACAAGCGTATCGGCGGCCAGGACAGCTTAGGGCTTGTGTTGCGTGGGAGCGGTGCCGTCCTTCTGCGTCCCCCTTGAGGATCGGGAGTCCTTCATCGAGCTTAAGGACGTTTTGAAGGTGGACATCGATGGAAACATTATCGGCAAAGAAAAGCAAAAGCGACTTATAGATGCTTTCATTGAGGACTGCAAGGCCATGTGCCTGAGTGCTCGCATGCTCTGCCGTGCCTCTACCACAAGCTACGTACGTGGTGGCAGGTCATCGACAAAAGAGACGAGACGTGGGATGCCATCAAGACGCAAAGCGAAGCTGCAGCCCGACAGCATGCAGCCGAAAAAAAGTGGCTGTCTGTCGTTCTGCGCATTTTGCACACCGATATGCTGCAGGAAGCCGCAAAGCTGCAAGGCCCGCCTGCGGTGGTCAACCAGGCTGATTCGTCCCGAGAAGCCAGCTTCAGCCAACAGCTGCTGCAGCTATCTCGTAACTTCAATGTCCACTTTGAGTAGCATTTATGGCCAAGCGTCTGGCGTTCCCAGCCCCCCCCCCCCGCAATGGGGTGGTCTGGTAGAGGTAGGGGGTTGGCGTGTGCGGAGAGGGGTCGGGGCGGTTGGGTGGGGTGTGGCCAGGCGTCACAGAGAGGGCCGGGTCGGGCCGGCGCAAGCCACAAACCCTCTAAGGTAGGGCTCGTCCTGTTTCTCAAAACGGTAACCTGTACTTCATGTTTAAAACCTCACACCCAACCTAAACCCCGCCTAAA